GTCGGGTGGCTCATCCCTTGGTGATTTGGGGCATCAGTCCTGCTTTGGCCCGGTGCTCAAGCCATTTGCCTTGTCACTTGCCCCTGTATAAAAGGACAGCTACTTCCACGGAGCAAGGGGACAGGAGGAGCTGGGTTGGTTTGCCGCTTTCTCCTCCACATATTTGGGTCTTCGTGGGTGGATGCTGAGGATGAAACAGGCTGAGGTGTTGGGCCGGTACCACGGAGCTGGTCTGCACGTAGCCTGCCCATGGAAGGAAGGATAGATCCAGAGTCAGTTTGGGAATAAGGCTGGTAGAGATCAGAGAGGCAAGGACATAGAGATTGCATGGGGTTAGGCGGAGATCACAGATCAAGTGGGGAGAAAGAGAAGACGAACTTGGGGAAGGTACCAGGGAGTCTCTCAACTAGGAACATGTGTGCTGCGGTTCATTCACAGAAAGCCAACAGCAGGAACAAAACCCCCCTTCCCTCCAAGGTGGTTGAGGTGCCTTGGAGGGCTTCACCAGCGGAGGTACCCACCTCATCTTCCTCCCGGGGGGAAAGGAGGGAAAAGCAGCGGCAGTTCGGTTCCAGTGGGGATGGGGCGAGCGACTCGGTGACCAGTGAACACAAGGTACCCGTGGCCAAAGAGGCTCTGCAGAGGGCGGATGGAAATTGGGCAGAGCAGTAGCTGGGGGGAAAGGGCTGGTTGCAGCCGCTCTGCCTGCCCGCGGGGCTGCGGGAAAGGTCAGGCAGAATGCGAGCCGGGCATTAAATTAAGCCTGTAAGGAGACACTCGGGGAACTTAAGATGGATTAACTTAAGGTGTAAAGTTTAAAGCATATTATTATGAAGGAGGATTAAGCTAAACTGAGCTAATGACACCACTTCTGAATGCGTATCCACATAGCGGATTCAGAGCTTTGGCTCCACGCCTTTTTATTACTTAAACATACTTATCTTCTTACTGTCCCCATAAAGATACATGCCCTTATATTCCAGATCTTCACATTCTCCATTTTCCGTGTCAAGAAGCTCATATGTGGCAGAGGTAGAACTGGTGTGTGTTGGTTGGCTTTTGCCTACCCCCAATTTTTTTTTTCCCCTTACGAAAAAAAACCAAACAAGGCAGGGGAAGGCAACATAGAAGTTTGTTTTCATTTTTCCCCATGGTGATAATGGCATTTGTGATGACTTGATGGTCTGTATTCTTAGATGAGGTGTTTGGTAAGGAAGAAATAACTTTGTTCATGTTATGTAGACATGCCCTAATTTCTATGTGCTCCATCTCTTTTAATATATGAGCCATTTCTGTTGCTTTATTTTATTGTTACTCTGATGGTATTGGGATATCTGCGATGTCAGCATCTGAATTTTCAAAAAGCTCTGTACTATTTTATTTTACACAGTATGGGTTAAAAATCAAATGCGAAGTTGAATACTGTAAACTCCCACAAAATGTTTATCTTACATGAAACAGAGTCATGAATTAACTAACATAATTTGTAGTTAGTAATAATTTGTAAATAAGTAAGAAATGAACTGAACTGATTTTACAGGAGGGAAACTGATTTGAAATTACAGGTTTGCTGTATGTTAAATACCCTACTTAGTAACTAGTTCTGTGTATAATTTTATCTCACTACAAACAATGCCATCAGGTTTTCCTTGAGGGCAAACTAGAGATCAATATTTCTGAGTAGATAAAAGACTAAATATTGAAAAGACAGACCCCAAAAAACCCCTGACTTACACTGAAGTTCTTCTATTTGGGCCATCATATAAAAACAAAACAAACACAGAGAAAACTATAAGAGAGAAAAAGTAAGATGTCACCAAAAGTGCAATGCAATGTAAAAAGAAAAAAAGGTTTTGAGTGAGGATACTTTTCAGGTAGCTGTCACAGAGAGTGTTTGGCCATGCTGTTTAGTGAAAGCATAAGAAACCCGAGACAAAACCTCAAAATGTTTCGTTTTGTTTGCTGTGTGGCTTGCGGTATCAGATGAAAGGTCTGGAGCTTCTCATGTCCGTGGAGGTCAAACGCAGGCAGGGATGGTGGCAGCTGCTTCATGTTCTGAGGCTGGAGAAACTAACCTTGGTGTCCTGCACAAGTAATACTGGACGTAATAGGTTGTGCTTGGTTTGAATCCCGCTGGTCTTTAGCAGTCTGAGATACAGCTTAAAAGGTATTTTTTTTTAGAATACAAATGTCCCTCATTAATCATTTGCCTTTCAACTTTAGTACATAGTCCTCTGAGCTTCCTGGGAGGGGTCAATTAGGAACCACCATTGTCTGTATCCTAGACTTGGATTTGGGAATTTTGGGAAGAGGGAGGGGAGCAGGAGCGGCAGGAGGGAGATGACTCTCTGGGGTCTTTGGGGATCTTTTCCCCCAGCTGTCTGTGGGTCAACTCAGAAGTGCCTGCGGCCCTTTGGTCCCTGGGCCATAACAACCTATCTGGCAGGAGGACCTCAGGCTGGTTTAGGGCGATGCCCCAAAGCGGGGTAGGCTGAGTCACGCAGCGGCCAAACGTGGAGGAGCCCCTGTCCCTGGCACACTCAGTCATCCATGTGAAGGGCACGTCGAACACCGGGAGGGATCCAGGTGCTGCTATGCTGAGTTGCCCGCAAGCCTTGGATGGTGGCCACCGGCCTCGGGCAGACCCGGGGCTGGAGCGGGACCCCAGGCACAGCAGCTTCAGAAATGCTCGTTTGTGTGCATCTGACATCTTTTAACTCTGCAAATCCTTTTCTGTTTCACCCGATCCCAGTTACTCAGGGTTGCTCTGCGTGCGTTCATAGCACCTGACCGGTGTTGAGTGTGCAAGTGGCACCTGCAGCGTGCGACCAGGCTTGTGTGCTCGTGCCTGTGGGCATCCAGCAGTGGAGGCTGCTCTTCTCAAACAGCCAGCCAAGTGGTATTTCAGTCACCCTTCAAAGACTATTTTCTTCTCTTCGTTTTCTTCCCTGCGGTCCATGATGCGTAATACAAATAAATAAACACAGCATTAGTACTACTATTAAATTTAAAAAAAAAAAAAGGAGCTGGAAGTTCTTCATCTCAAGAAGAGGGTGGAGCGGGGGAAAAGTGCAGATCCCATATAACAATGGGGAGTCCGCTTTATTAGTATTAAGGAGGAAAATAAAATCTGCTCTGGCAGTAGTGAAATAAAACACCAGGAAGATTACGTCAGTCTTTGTTTGCACACAGTGTGATTCTTCTCTTTCACCAGCCAATTTGTATATTTGAAAAGGCAGTTGCTTGGTTAAAATAATTAGCTGAACTTCATCCAATTTCCCAATTACGTGCAAAAATGTTTGAAGAAATATAGACAATTGTTGTTGAGCAATTAAAACCAAGAAAAAGTAGTGGTCACCAAACAATTATAGCGCCTTGTCTAAATACCCGCTTATATATTGTAGTTTCAAAAGGAGACGGGCAGTTCTCAGTGACTCTTTGCTGTAGCTGTTGTGGTTTGGGATAGCGGCTTTAGAAGTATAGCAAAATCCTAACTCTGCCTGAAACTTGTTCAGGATAGATTAGCCTGGGGCTGCCTCAGAGAAGAGAGATGGGATCTGAAGCTAAATGTATCAAAATACATTTAAAGGAGAAAAAAAAAAAAAAAGAGTAAACTGGATACAATTCATGAATCCTTATTATTTTACTGTTTAACAGGCAAAAAACTGTATTAATGAATAAGATCGTCTTATTATATAGTCCTTTATTCCCAATTATCTTAGATTCTTATTTTGGGAAAAAAACATACAGAATTTTTGAATATTTCAGTGTTTGAATGAGAAACCATTGCAACAATTTGACTAGGAATTCCCCATAGGAGGTCCAGTGTAGTGTCTTGACAAGAACTTCAGTGACTGGGAAATCGTTTTTCCTTGTTGTCCCTACACTTTCATCCTTGGAGATCAACCTGTTGCCTTTTCAGGAAAAGTAGCAATTGGAGATTTTGAAACGGAGGCTACTTGGGAAGGATGCAGACGTGCTGCTGGCTGAGGCAGCGGGCCTCCCAATCGTTTCTTAACTTCAGACTCCTCAGTAGACATAAAGGCAGTAACATGAAGTCGTGCATTTTATTTTGTTTGTGTGAAACCACTTCCACATTTTTCAGACCAGCTGCATTTTTACAGGACTCTCTTATTCAGGATGAGAAGAGTCGAGATGTCTGCTGGCACAGTGGAAATCCCTGATCCCAGGGACCTGCTGGCTTGCAGACCCGACCGTGTGCGGTGGGCAGCGGAGCTCTTTGCCGTGGGTTTTCCTGTTGTCCACGGCCGGAGGCAGCCTTGGAGACTGCTGGGCTGGGGCCGGGGCTGACCGCCCTGGGTGGTGCAGGCTGCAGGTGGGAGGCTGTCAGTCCTCCTTGGCCATCCATCTCTGCACCAGACGCTTCTGAAACCTCTTCCCACCTGTACATCAACTGATGGGGGATGTATCATTTAAAACACGCACGCAATGGGTGTTGGTTCCCTTATTGCACCAGTTCTGACCCCTTCAGCAGGCTCGTTTCCGTCAGCCAGGGCAGAGCTGAACAAACACTGACAGTTCAAACGCATTTTAAAACGTTTTTGCCAGTTCATCAAGGTCGTCAGTGTATAAAACTCAAATGACATCTGTTTCAGTTCCTTTGGGGGGGGCGGATGTTAATGCCGCCTCTGGTCTGCCAGGTAGCGACATGAACTCAGCCGTCCATTGCAGATGGCAGAGGAGTTGAGGAAGGCGATGCCCGGGCCCCCCAAAGCTCACAGGCAGTGGGGTTTTTCTGCCAGTCTGGGAGCACGGGGACCAGGCAGCCCTCTGGGACTGGCAGGGGTCCAGCTCTGTCGCTGTAGTCCCCAGCTCCCTTACCTAACCTGAACTTTCCAGCCGCGGTGTGTCTTACTGACCTCTGCGCAATCAGTGCTTGGTTTCCAGGGCGCACCTTGCTTTCCTCACCCCTGGGCTGTTCCGTGCACGTTGCCCTTTCCCGTATTTATCCTCTGGCTTTTGTTTCTTTCTCTTTGCAGGGAACGGATGCGCCAGTCTGCTATGTTTGAACTGTGCCAGGGGATGCACCAGATCAGTCTGCAGTTTGTTCGCTTGCAGCTTAGCTTTGAGGAGTACACTATAATGAAAGTTTTGCTGCTGTTAAGCACAGGTAAGTCAGATTCATGGTTACACGGGAATACTTGAAAATATTCCGATTCACAAAGAGATGCAGCAATTTTAACTAATGTGACAAAAGAGCCAAACTGTTTCCAGCAGGGCCGCAGGAATAAGCCTGGTTTTATCTGGTTTTACCTTAGGATTTATCTGCAGACCTCACTCTCCATTTGCAAGGAAAGTGTCTTTGCAGTCTGAATGTGTCATGTGCATTGGAAGGACAGGAGTGGCCCGGCAAGGGGCTTTGCCCCCTCGCCCCCCCCAGGAACCACTCGAGTTGGCTGGGTGTGCCAAGAAGGTGCAACAGCTGTGGGGACTGGGGAGAAATCCCCACTCAACACTCAAAGCCACCAGTTTGGGTGACCTACTGTTGCCTTCAGGATCAAAATACGTACATTGCCTGTACTGCAAAATGGGTAATTTTCCAATGCCAAATGAATTGGGAATGGTAAGCCCTTTAAAAAGGGCTCTGAAAGTTTAATAAATGACAGTCCATGCTTTATTTTTCTCTCGAGTGTCATGCTTTGAGTTTTCTTAAGATGCAAAATTACATCTTGGTGTTTGTTACAGCACTGTGTAGTAATTAGCAGATCTCTTGATCTTATCTTACTGAAAATATTGAAAAACTCCTGTCCCAGTACAATTGTATATACACAGGCAGTTTGTACATTACTTTTCCATCAGTCTTGATGAAAAAGCCAATTACTTGTAAACAAACTTTCTCCTGTATAGTCGTGCTCCTGTTTGTGGGATCCACTCAGTAACATCATGATGAGGTAACGCATCAGCTCAATTGGTGAGCGTTCATGGCAAGAATTCCCTTGGCGCAAGGAGGCTGGATCTGGGGGTATCGTGCGGGGAGAGGAGGAGTGGGAGACCAAAGGGGCCGCTGTGCTTATTCTAGTTTTCACCGGCAAGCCCTCGGCAGCAGGACGCGCGGGGCTGGTGCCACACAGAGCATCTCCCCATTCGGTGGCGAGCAGAGCCCAGCGCGCCCTTTGAGATCTCGCTGTCTTCTCCCATCATCCCATCTTCTTCCCCAACAAGCTGAGAGAAGAAAGAAATGGCAAGCGACAGGCATTAGTTGTGCAGAACTGGAAGGCGCTTATCGCCAAAACCATTAAGGATGCCAGAGAGGGCTGATGCAGCGGCAGATTTAGACACGCAGGAGCCTCCCGAGTCCCCAGCCATGGCGTGGGCAGAGTTAGGTGCCCACAAAGGGATTTTGCAGCATCCAGCGAAGCCAAGTGGCAACTCCTTCAAGCAAGGTGGTAGAACAGGCACTTTCTCCCTGTCTGCTGTGCCTTTCATTCAGACCTCGCCCATCCCACCCAGCCGGTAGCTCGGTGGTTAAAGTACTTGCCTTTGAAGGAGGACGTGAAGCTGCAGTTCCCGTCCTAGCTGTAGGGGATTTGGATCTGCTAACAGAAACCTCCTGGGGCTGTAAGTATTTTAGGGCTCGCCTGTCTCCCTCCCTCCTTCCCGCTGAAGCCTTTCCAGCTCCCCGGGATGGGGAGAGACGACACAGGTTGGGGAGCACTTTGTGTCCTGGCCCATGGGGTCTGACCCCCAGGTCCTGCTCCACCGAGGGTTCGAGGAGATGGTCTGCTGGTGAAACTGGGACTGTGGGGAGCTGATATGTTCCATGGCAGCCGTGGGGGGTAAATGTTTTTTTTTAAGGTTGTCACTTGCAGTCTTTCCAGAAGCAATTAATGGTGCTTACCGTGGATGTGCTTGGGGGAGTCCAGCTGCCAAAATGTTCTTGAGAGAGTGTCTGGATTGGAGATCTGGCTGTGCTACGTTTAATCAGCCCGAAATGGGGAGAATCTTTAGAAAAAGAGCCTAAAGGCGTTCTAAAAACATAGCAAAATTTCTTTAAGCTAGGTATTTATTATTCTACCCTCTTGAGAGTGTTAACTAATGGCTTGAGTTATTGCAAGAATCTGTTAGGCAAGATCAGCCTGGCCAATTAATTTCAACTGAGTCCCTTTGAAATGCACACGACGGTCACTAGAAAACCTACTAAAAATAGTTCGTTTCGGGAGAATCAGGATATTTATGTTGGAGAGAGAGGGGAGCGAAATGGAAACGAAGACAGTGATAAAAACCCAGAAGGTGTCACGTGAAGGGCAGCAAACCTGGTTTCAAATGATTGCACCTTGATACAACCTTATGACAGAAAACGCCAGGTTTGTTTTCACTTAAAAATTTTATTGAGTTGTTTGATGAGCAGAGTACAAGTTATTCTGAAACTTTCATGATGACCACATCAAGGAAGTTTCACTCCATTTACATATGGAAGAAACCACACATTACAACTCAATTGTTTTCTTGCTTTCCACAGACCATAGATTTTGGGAGCTTGCCAAAAGCATTGCTGCATTTAATAAGTAAAATCAGAAACACCGGGCAAGCCTCCAAAATTTCATGTTTTGCTTGAGTTCTCTTTATTTGTGGTCTTTCTTTCTTTCTTAATAATCTGGCTGGGGTGATGGTATAATAATTTGCAGACAGAACAGTAAAATACATAGTAGTAGACAAAGAGTGGCTCTAACCGTCTTTTTAAGCAGCATGTAGGAATACCGACCTGTATTAAAGGAACTGTAAAGCCTGTGCATTTTGTGTAAGGGCCACAGTATGCTCTGATGGCTTTGCCCATCTTGATTGGTGTCTCTATATCCATTCAACTTGAGCTGAATTTGTACATCTGTTCCAGACAGTTCCTTCTATCTGTCGGCTGACTGACTGAGAGATTTGGCATCTAGAATTTAAAAATTAAATATTATGTTTACATAATAGAAATAGATAATATTTACCGATGAGTAGGCAGGTTGGTGCGTTAACCTCCTAGGCTTTTTCTAAAGATTCCTCCTCGTGCCCCCTTCCAGCACTGGATGGTCACAAGTCCTTGCTGCTCATGTGGTGGTAGAGCTGCTCCTTGTTTGCCATTGCTAAATTGCTCTGGTAGATACTGGTGATAGAGGATACTGGTGCTTTGTCTTAAAGCTTCTGCTCTGGAGCCATCTGGGCGGTTGTTACGTGCTCATGATGTGATTGCGGTGGGATAGAAGGCAGTTCACAGGATTTCAGAGAGAAGGGAATGGATGAACAAGACAATTTCTGTCAAGATGTTAAGTCAGGGTAAGCTAAATTGGAAGATCACCCATGGGGTTTTTTTTCTTTCCTTTTTTAATAAGTTCCCATTTTTAGCTTGCTCTGACATAACTTTCTGGCTTGTTTAGAAAATAAACTCACTCCCGTACAGTGTAGTATTTTATTTTCCTTCTGTGGACTAGCATTTAGAGATGCAGAGTACAAAAAATATTTGCTGGTTAAGAGCAGTATTCAACCAATCCAGGTACTGAGACACCAGAATATTTTGTGTAACATTGTTGATAACCTCTCTGGGATTTTCCTCAAGATCCGATCCTATAAGCCATTCCTGTTTGGGGCAGAGCCTGCTGGAGTGCAAGGGTATTTGCAGTCAGTAAAGAAACGGTGTATTTGCCTTTGTAATTAGCCTTGCTGATACCAGTCATGGTAAGAAGTGTCAGAAAACTCTACTTTTAGCCCATTTGTGAAATTGATGCCTCTGGCAGATGGGAACTTTGATAGGACAGTAGAAATGCTTGCAACTGTATGTCGTGGTCAAGCACTGGGTCAGGGTATCTGTTTGGAAAATAGTCTTTTGTTTCTTGCAGGATAACGGTTCTGTTTGTTCTAGGTGTTATGCAGATGCTTACTAACATGCAAAGAAATTTTAGATGTTACTTGATGGCATAAAAAACGTGTCACTTGGTGTAGCATTTCTGCACGTAGCAGCTGTAATTCTCTACCTTCCCCTCTGCCAAGTGTGGGGAATCATTCAAGAATGATAAATCACGTCTTCAACTTCTAAAAAAAAAAAATACCGTTGATCCATCTGCTGCCTTTTTTTTTTCTTTCTCTTTTTTTTTTTTTTTTTTTTTTGTGGTTGGGTTGTACGGTTTCAGCATGAGGTTAGCATGTGTCGCATTTCTGAGATGTTATCTTGTCCTCTGCCACAGCTTCTGCAATCGCAGATCTGGAGAGGATGCTTGAATCACTTGAAAATCTGTATGATGTTGTTGATTCCTTACCAATGTCTGTAAAATTATGGACTTTGCTTAAAGATGTAATTCTTTCATCCATTAACTAGTGTAACTTTTTAAGTATGCACAGCAAAAGAATAAGCAATACAGTTAATATTAATATAAGACTGTCTTTTCAATGACAGTTCCCAAGGATGGTCTCAAAAGCCAAGCTGCATTTGAAGAAATGAGGGCAAATTACATTAAAGAACTAAAGAAGATGGTAACTAAATGTCCAAGTAACTCTGGGCAAAGCTGGCAGAGATTCTACCAACTGACTAAACTTCTTGACTCCATGCATGATGTAAGTATAACTCCTCAGGGAGCGCAGACAAGTTAAGCAAAAATATCTCCATTAAGGTAAACCAGTAGTCTTTAATTGTGTTAACTAACAGGGAGAAAAAAAACCAAACAAACAATGAAATTCTTTTTAAAGGAACATCTGAGAGAAGTTGTTAGATGAATTTAAGGACAACTGCCAAGTAAAATAAGAAAATATAAGTCATTAAGGGCTGGGTCCTGCTGCCTTCTCCTACGTTACATGGTAGTGTGTTCCTCCGACGATTCACTTAAGGTCGGTAGAGCTATTAGTGGGGTCAGAGGCTCTTCACAGGAGAAGCGATGTTCGCTGTGACCCTAAGTTAGACACGGTGCGAGCGCACCACGCGGAGTTATCCCGCGAGTCGCTTCTCAACGAAAGGTGCCGGATTAGTGTGTCATGCATCTCACGTGCCTTGATGTACTAATAAATGTTGAATTAATTTGGTGCTCTTTTACAGCTGGGATTGTAATAATGATGACTTTAAAAGGTGTATTAAGACCTTGGAGCCATCTTGGGTATTTGAAGCTTGATTTGAGCTTTTCAAGTATAAGATTCACGGTACTGTTAGGTTATTTCTCCCTCCCTGTTTCACTCCAGTGCAAGGTGTTTGTTTTACATGCATCAGGTGTGAGATGTGACGAATGATGCGGGAAACTAAAAGCTTAGTCCCTAAACACCCAGGCTGTTGGTGCCTCAGCCCAGAGTGACTCGGAAGGGTTTTGGTAGGTGCCGAGCGCACGGGACCAGCTCGCGATTTCAGAAGGGGTATCCGTAACGTTGAGCTGTTGAGTTGGGCGCAAGCCGGTTCTAGCCAGTAAAATGGTAAGTGCAGAGATTTACCTCTCCAGATGCTTTGTGCAGTAGCAGGGCTGTATCTCCGTGCTGTCCGTAATGGAGCCTGGAGTCCCCAGAGAGGAAGCTGTCATGGTCTCCTCAAGCTGAGACGTTTTCCCCGGTGCCCCCCGGGCACCGACCCCTTGCCCGGGGCCAGCGGGGCTGGCACCCGTCCTGTCTACAGCCCTGTGGCAGTGCAGCAAGTGACGGGAGAGCCGTGGGGCCAGCGAGAGCGACCTTTGGTTGTGTGGGGGTACGAGAGAGGAGAGGTCCCGTGAGCCCTGCAGCACACGCTGATCACCTCCCGGTAAAAACTGGTAAACTGTGGCAAAGGAGAAAACTGTCCTACTCCATCCTGGGTGGGCAGGGAAGTCGCTCTGCTGCATGAAGAACCTACAGCACTTGCTTTCAGAGCCTGCATATAAATGTACTTCTTTGTGCTCGACTCAAATTTAATTTTTGTAGAGACACTACAGTACAGTGCACTTCAGGTCAAATCTGTATAAGAGCCTGAGGTCTGTTTACAGAATGTACATATGGAATTATTTTTCAAATATTGTTCTGTTGTTCATTAAAACATTGCACATCTTAGTGGGAGGCAGGGAGAGTATTATTAGTACTGCAGTAATAGCTCGTTCTTCGGAGATCGCGTTTCACTTGCCCCGTGCCAGCAAAGGAAGTTGTAGTGTTTTAGTGGAAAGAAAGGGGATGGGTGATAAAATCATTTGCAAGATATTCACATCTGAACCTCGGGGCAGCATAACAAACCCCTGCATTTACAGAGTTTTCTGTCCTCTTCAGAACAGGCAGTGGCTGTGATTTGGTATTTAAATGGGGGGGTCGTGTGGTTAAGGTGACGGGATGACAGGCTCACACTTAGCGAGAATGCCACCGTGTCCTACAGACATTTTCCAAAACACAGCATTAACTATTGGGAGCTGAACTAACCAGAGGAAGCAGACTGCTCTTGCTTTTTATTTATTTTTTAATTAAGCTATTTTTACGTTACTTTTGTTTTAATAGAGCACTTTCTTACAAAGGAGTTTTTAAAGACAGTCCCATTGTCAGCGTTCTCTGTGAAAAGGGCCGGTTGTCTGCACAACAGAGCTTCCTTTCAGACGTGATACTGGAGACTTGTTCAACAAAGGCACTTGTTTATTTTTTCTCTTTAACACTGATTTTTTGCTTTTTGGTTGTCAAAATCCATCACAATAAATGTAGAGTGGTGATAATATTAATAAAGGGTGAGAATTACTCTTCTCCCTTGCTGCCCGTTAGTGCAGAATTTCTCTGTTCTATCAATGTGAATGCAAATTTTCTGCTCGATTCCTTAGTATAGGAGGAACGCTTTTTCAGCTGTCACCTATGTATTTTTAACTTACTCCGTTATAATTTTAGAGGATCAGAATATATTAGGTGCTGAGCAGTCGAACTGGAGCTGAGGCCCCGTGTTTACGTGCTGCTGTAGCCACAGCATTGGCATTTGCAGCGCAAGCCCGAAGGGACTGGCGCAGAATTCATGCTTATTCAGCCCTCCCGCTGCCTCCAGCTTTTCCGTCCGAGCAGAGCAGCATCTCGTCATTCGTGGAGTTCGCTTTACCTGAGCGTAGCGGTAAACAACAAAAAAATACTGCTCCTTTGCACCTTCACACTTGCTTTCCTCGACCTCATTTTTCAGTAGTCTTTCTGAGGACTATGTGAAATAAAGCGCACGAGAATATCAAATTACAGTCTGCTTGGCTTATATAATATGAGGAATAAAAAAAAACAACAACCCACCCCAAACAAGATGGTTTTACATTGCTCAGTATACTAAATCATTCATCCACATAGTAAACATATGCGCAGGTAGAAAAATGCCGAGGTGAGGAAAAAAGAAATTTTCAGGAAGGCCAGGTAGGCACTTAAGTATTTGAAAAAATCAGCAACTTTATTTAATGATCCATAAAGCCTCGAAGCACCAAAAGCACAACTGAAAAATAGATGGAAACCCCTCCCGAGCAGACAAGATAAACGCGGTTTCGCGGATGTGCGTGCGCACACCTGCCCTGGGCTGCCCTGTAGTTTGCGTCACTGCTGCCGTGCACCGCAGTGCTCTTTATTTGCGCGATGCTGTGTGGAAGCAGCGGTTGCCGATAGAGCAGGCGCTGGCTGGCAGCGTCAGGCTGGTTACGCAGCGCGCCCTTCCTCTCCCTCGGCACGAGAGGACAGAGAGGAGTCGGTTGTTGTCGTTGACTTGCTGTTGGGCTATGGCTCGGCCTTGCTTGTGTGGATGGACCCCGGCGTGGGTATCTTCGGGGAGCATTGAGGGCAGCAACGTAATCGCCGTATTTCCTTCTTGTTAGGGATTGTATTTCTACCGTTGCGGCTGGCCTGCGTGCATCGTTTCACGAAGCAGCATTATGTATTGAGAACCGTAGCGTAGCAAGGACAACCGACCTCTCTGCCCAGGACATAAAGGTTTCGGTCTTGTGGCCGTGAGTGGTCATTGGCATTTCAGGGAGAGATGGGTACGGATGTAGGTGAACTGCGCTATGTGATCAGACAAACGGCATGCAGGAACATTAGAAACAGATGTACTACACATGGTATCAAAAACTTCATTTGGATCCTCCTCAACGTCTCCTGTTGGCTTTGGCAGGAAGGGTTGTATCTTGCATGGCAAGCTTCGTTTCATACAGAGGTTGTAGTGTATGGTTAGGCGGTTTGCAGAACAAAAGCTGAATTTGGTTTCAATCCAGCTGATACTAAACAGACTTTGAGTTAAGAGGGCTTTTGTTTCGATGCCATGACATTAAACCCTAATGTGAACCTTCCCCTTGTCTTGGCAAGGCAGAGCACTGCACTGTCATTTGCTTGTTGATGCTTTCTGCCAAACAAAAATAAATTCTTGAAGGCTCATGCTGCTGAATAATTAATTTTTTATGGTTCCTGAAGGGAATACTTTATAGCTGAGGTGGATCTTTCCATAGGCTGAGAGCGCCAGGATTACACTCACTGAAAAAGCTGACAGTGGGAAGGAGGGCGCAGATGCTCACAGGGCGGGTTGGCAAGGTGCGCCGCGGTGGATGCAGATGTGCTTCTGCAGGTGCTTCGTCCCACAGACATGAAGGGGCAGACGAGACCCGCGGCTCTTGCACACTTCCTCCTGCCACTGCTCTGCCCAAGTTGTGTCCCACAGCTGACGAGCTGTTTGGAGCCTTGTTTTAGTGCCTGTGCCTGAATTCTCAGAGTAGGCGTTTTCTCTCTTTACTCAGAGGCTAGACCGTGCTCCCGATGTGGCCTCTACAAAAGCAGCAGCGATGTAAGAGCGGGCATGGGTGCGTGTTGCAGCAGCGAATGTGCGTCTGTCAAGCGAGACGTTGATTCCCAGCTCCCTCATGTAGACAGGGGCTACTCTGAGGGTTGTCTCGCTCAGTTGGTGATGGTTGGATCTCTTCTCGTTCACGTTAACGGGTGTTTGTTGGAGGAGGGCTGAGCCCCGCTACTGTTGACAGAAGAGCAGGGGAGGCTTGGTTCAAAATCTGCCCTGGCCAAGGGCTGCGGATGCCTCATTGGTGTGTGATACCGGGGGTTTGCGCGCGTCCTCCAGGCATTCAAAATGAGTTGAACTCGGGTTCCTCCGTGTCGTGTCCAGGTGTCCAAGTGCTGTGGCTTCGGCGTGCACGTGTTTATGAAGAAAACCCAAAGAAACGAGTGCAGCTCCTAAGTCAGAGAAATGCACCTGTCCAGGCAGACCTAGGTTCCACATTTGCTCTGGTCAGATACCGTTACTGCCCAATCCGTATCCGTTTTATCCACCTTTTACTCCTTGCTAGCGTGAGGTAAATGCACTGCATAGGCGTCATCCGATGCTTCATCCTTTGGTCTTACCTTGTTTTCCCCGTGTTTGTGGGAGGTTTTACTCGTTGGGTTAGAGTTCAAGATTTCATAAGCAGATAGGAATTCACTGCTGGGGCACCAAAGGACGTCTGTGCGTCTGAGAATGGGCCTGTGAGCCATCCCGGGGGGAATAATGTACATCCTGAGCCCTCGGGCTAACAATTAATTTACATCATGGGTTTTTCGTAGGACTGGAAGCAAAAGGGAATAGAGAAATAACCAAGACGTGGCTGGCAATGGTTTTCCTTAACCGTAGCTGTGGTGAA